GCGCCATCTTGAAAAAACAAGTATTAATTATTAATCCACCATACATGCTGATGAATAGTTGTTTTTGCATAACTTAGATATGTTGCAATGATTTTCAGTGATACAAGACTTGATCTTTGTAAAATGTTTTAACCTGAAAATATATTTATTTTGTCATCAATCCTCTTCTGATATCAGTCATTAACAGGACACAGGCTAAACACTTGCTGAGCATGTGTATGAGTTGATGGTACATTTTACCGATGTGCCCTAAACGCCTCACGTGCTGCTCCAGTAGATGCTACATTTTACCAATTTTACCTAAATGCCTCACATGCTGCTCTGGCTAAATGCTACCAGGTGTCTGCGCGTTCTACACTAATTTGCCCAAGTTGAAAAGTTTTCTGTTAGCTCGCACACACTCAAAAATGGTCACATACTGTATGAGAACATTTTGGTCACAGTCTGGAACCCTGTGTAGGCACATTGCTGTGTTATTATAACATAAATTGTAACATTATATTACGATATATTATATCAGGTAAATCCCACTAATTTATCAGATTAGGAAACACACATCTCTCGCAAGCCACATAAAATGACGTGACGGGCCGGATTTGGCTCGCGGGCCTTGAGTTTGACATATGTGCACTAGTGCGTTCCATTTAGCTATTTTTGGAGGTCTTTGCATCAACTTCATCCACAATTTGCAACCTTTCAGCCTTTTCCAACACCTGAGCTTCTGCTGCAGTTGCCTCTGCTTCACATTGAAGCTTTAACGTTTCTAGCTCTGCGTCTATTTTACGTTTTTTTTTTTCATACTGTGCTTTAGTGTCCTTTCTTTTTCTTTCTGATGATGCATCAGTACAGTGTGGCATAGTGGAGACCATCCTGTGGCACTGCTGAGGTGTTATTTAATGCCAAGGCTGCTTTGATAGCAGTCTTTAGCTTGTCTGTATTTTTGGGTTGGGTGTTTTTTATCTTTCTTTTCGCAGTAGTCCATATGGGGTTCTAAGGGATTCAGATGAGTTGGCTGGCCAATCAAACACAGTAATATCATGGTCAGCAAGCCATTTGTTAGGAATTTTGGCACTGTGGGCAGGTGCTAAGTCCTGCTGGAAAAGAAATTTGACATGTCCGAATTCTGAATCAATTTTAAAATCCTTCTGTTACAACCTCGCCTCTCCCTGTCTGTCAGAGCTCATCCACATCGCCACCCCTTCCTGCTCCCTCAGATTATCTTCCTCCATCCACCTCACTGTCCCTTCCACTCATCTCACCACCATGGGTTATAGATCCTTCTCGTATTCTGCCCCCCAACTCTGGAATTCGCTGCCACCACATATACGTACTACCGATTCACTGCCTCTCTTCAAATCCAAAATCAAAACCCATCTGTTTAGAACTGCCTCCTTCTTTACTTTGCTTCTCCATCTTCATTTTTTTGTGTGATGTTTTTATCTGCTGTTATATCGTCATTTGTTGTTTTTTGTTATTGTTTTTACCCTTGTTGAAAAGCATCTTTTAGTGCTCTGAAAGGAAACAGTTTAATTTTAGTTTCACTGAACCACAAGACGTGTCTCCAAAAATTAAGGTCTTTGTCCCTGTGTGCATTTGTAAACTATAATCTGGCTTTTTTATGTTGCTTTTGGAGTAGTGGTTTCTTCCTCTCTAAGTAGCCTTTCAGCCCATGTCGGTACAGGACTTGTTTCACTGTGGATAATGACACTCTCTTACCAGCTTCAGCCGGCATCTTCACAAGGTCTTTTACTTTTGTTCTGGGGTTGATACACACATTTTGCACCAAAACACTTCCTCTCTGGGACACAGAACCCGTTTCCTTCCTGAGCAGTATGATGGCTGGACATTCCCGTGGTGTTTATACTTGCGTATAATTGTTTGAACAGATGAACGTGGAACCTTCAGGCATCTGGAAATTGTGCCCAAGAAAGAACCACACTTATGGAGGTCCACAATTCTCTTTCTGATATATTGGCTGATTTCTTTAGATTTTCCATGTTGTCACGAAAGGAAGCAGTGTGTTTGAGGTGTGCATTAAAATACATCCACAGGTGTTGCTCCAATTAACTCAATTGTTGTCAGTTAATCGATCAAAAGCTTCCAAAGCCATGATGTCATCACCTGGCTTGAAGACGTAGTAATCTCAGTGTATGTAAACTTCTAGGGGGGGGGGGCATTTATCAAATAGAAATAATTTTGGTAATCCTAACTGATTTTAAACAGTAAATGTTTGGTCTGATTTACTGTCAGACAGTGAGAAAACAAAAGGTTGTCTGTCTTTTTTTACAGCGTATGTACACTTCTGGTTTCAACTGTATATGAAACCAATGTGCTGGGCTGGTGATGATAGAGCCTGTGATTACATAGCAACATCAGCTGTATGATTCCATATTGTTGATATGTATCATATCTTACGCTCACTTCAGGACTTTCGGGCTAATTTACCCCAGTTTCACACTTCTCAACAATCAGAAGCGAAATTTGGTGTGGGAGCTTGATCTGACCTGATGTTGGGTCCAGATTATTTGGTTTTGTGAAATGTGATTCAGTCTGAAATCTCCAAAACTGCTTGCAGACCCAATAAAATCTGAATAGTTTGACATATCTGGATGGTTGCAATTATCATAATATCACCTAAAGCAGAAAATGCTGTTGCCAAGCAGGACTAAACAGTTTGACCCTTGGAGTCAATGTCAGCCACAGGAATTAAAAGTGATAGTTAAACCTAGTTAAACCTTCACCTTACCTCCACTTCTCTTTGAAGAATGAACAAACCATGTGACCACATCTTCCCAACTATTTTCTCATCCAGACTTGTTTATCATTCTGGTTTTGTTTTGTTTTTTTCACTACAATGTACTATTAAAGTAGCAGCAAGGATTGGTCCCCATTCTCCATTTGTTACATCTTCATCCCATTAAGTCGGTGCACTGCTCCCTTTGCACAATAATTTTAACAACATCATGTAGTGTGTGATATGCTATTATTTTCCAGTTTTGCAATGTGTGCATAGTGAAGAGCAGAGAGAAGCATAGCTGTAGAGTTTCTCTTTTTAAGTATGATGCAACATGAACAGATTCTGAAGTTCGGGAGGGACTGCTTTTTTTCCTGGGTGTTCAATCAGATCCAGAGGAAAAAAAGAACTTTTAAAAATAAAAAATGCGAAGAGAGGTGAGTTAAGGGACAGATTTAGCAAAACCATGAGAATGAGAGCATGAATAGAAAGACTTAGCTGTACTGGGTTTCCCCATAGGGCAGATTCTGGAAACCAGTTATCCTTCCCCTTCACACACACACACACACACACACACACACACACACACACACCATCTAGTCCCCATCCTCCCTGAATGTGTGGCCTATTTTCCCTGTGAAGGTGGTGTCCTAGATTCTGAGTTCCATTAGATGAGTAAAACAGTAAGGTAAAGTGATTATATGGGAGGGAAATGGAGGATGGGGATGTAATTGGGGTTTTAAAAGGAAGCTGAATATTTCCTCACTCATATGCGGACATTATAGTCATTCCATTGACCCAAATCAAGAGGGTTGTTATTTTGGCCTGGGGGAGTTTTGGCAAATAACTCGGATTGCTGTTAAGGTATCTTTCAGAAACTGTCTGCCTTTCCCCTGCTTGTCTGTGCATATTCCCTCACTTGCTCTAATTTTCTGAGTGCATATATATGTGGACTGCTGTCTGTGTTATTAATAGGCTATCACTATGTTCAGATAGGGCAGAATTCGTCAAATTAAATTATTGATCACGGAACTTAAAGAAACAGCTGGTAATCACTTTATGTACCCAAAGGCCTGCAGAACATATGGTACATATTATACCATAACAGCAGTTTCCAGAGTCAGATTAGCAATAGTGAAATGTTACACTTGTCAGTTGTTTGCGCAACACAGTGTTGAATTTTTTCCTGTGCTTAACATCTTTGGCCAGTGGTATTGCAACTTGATGTGAATATAGGCCCTGTGCGGCAACAAGTCCAATTGCCTTTTAGTCAGTGTCCCAACTGTAAGTATTTTGTATGAACATAATGAAATCAGTGCACTTGCTGAAATATCTGGAGTGTGAAAGTGTAGAGAAGCAAATATGTCATCAGTACATCCTCTCTCCTAAAGATTAATGGTAGATGTCCGAAGTGCACTGCTCAAAAAAATAAATAAATAAATAAAGGGAACACCTGAACAGTACAGTGTAACTCTAAGTCAATGACACTTTTGTGAAATCAACCTGTCCAGTGAGGAACACTGATTGTGAATCAGTTTCACCTGCTGTTGTGCAAATGGAACAGACAACAGGTGGAAAGGAGAGGCAATTAGCAAGACAACTCTTATAAAGGAGTGGTTCTCCACAGACCATGTCTCTGTTCTCATCCTTTCTGGCTGATGTTTTGGTCACTTTTGAATTTTGTCAGTGGTCTCACCCCTAGAGGTAGAATGAGGCGCTGTCTACAACCCATAGAAGTTACTCAGGTAGTGCAGCTCATCCATGATGGCACGTCAATGCGAGCTGTGGCAAGAAGGTTTGCTGTATCTCTCAGCACAGTGTCCAGAACATGAAGGAGATACCAGGAGACAGGCCAGAACACCAGGAGACATGGAGGGGGCCACAAGAGGGCAACAACCCTACCTCCTCCTTTGTACAAGGAGGAACAGGAGGAGCACTGCCAGAGCCCTGCAAAATGACCTCCAGCAGGCCACTAATATGCATGTTTCTGCTCAAACTGTCAGAAACAGACTCCATGAGGGTGGTATGAGGGCCTGACGTCCACAAGCGGGGCTTGTGCTTACACCCCTAACCCAACCTAAAATTTGATCTCTCACATTGAGCAATATGCCTGTTCAAGTAGATTATGACATGTTTATTTATCAGTTGCAGTATATAAAAAGCTCATGTAGATATCCTGGTTTTCACTACTAAATATTTCTGATTATGTACCCATGTTTAGTTACATCAGAACATTTTAGTGACTTCCGTCCTTTGTTCCAATCAGAGCTGCCAGAGAACTGGACAGACACCAAGGAGACTCTGCTGGAAGGGATGGTGTTCAACGTGAAGTACCTGGGTATGACTCTGGTGGGCCAGCCAAAAGGAGAGGACATGGCCTCAGCTGCCATTCACAGAATAGTTGCCATGGTGAGTGGCTGGGCCCCTTATGACTCTTTGTATTGAGTGACTTTATAATGAGTTTCAGCTATGTTACTGAGTCAGACACATTATCCTCACTATCTTGCAGGTTTGGATTTCATTATATCCACTGATTACAATCCACATTATTGGACTGATTGTGATATTTACAAATGTTTGCAAAAATGTATGGAAGCTAAATTAGCACGTTCAATTGCAATACAAAATGTCAAAAATGACACTGTGAAGATCCCAATTGCCATGCTTGTTTTTTCTTTTTAGAAATTCCTTCTTGGATTTGTGAAATTAAAGCCTGAGACTGCAATAGATATTGTCCCAGTGCTTTAAAAAAGAAGACTTGTAGATGTTATCCTCATGACCCAGGACAATATTTTGTCAGGATGGTTATTTATAGTAAGCAGTAAAAGGGAGAGTGAATTTGAATATAATATACCACCAGCAAATACATTCTCGGCAATTCCATTGTGGACACTTGTCATAATCAATCAATCAATCAATCAATCAATCAATCAATCAATCAATCAATCAATCAATCAATCAATTTATTAATTCGTCACTTTTAAGTCATCATATAAAACAAATTGACATTTTTAATGAAATACTCTGATTCAGATGTTTGTGAAACATTTAACTGCCTTCGAGATCTACTTGTAAAATGTGTAGTCAGTGTCATTCACTTTCAACTTTATGTAATTTGCTTCATATATAGTTGTACATTTTATGGGTTAGAATTATGTCAAGGTCAGTATATTTGCCTGAAAATAGAGCTGCTTATCCAAAATTATTAGGGGTTGCACACATGTAACAGTCAAATCACTATTATGATGTGTACTTAACATTGATCCATACTGGGGATTTCGAGGCATATTTTTCCACATCAGTTTAGAATGGTGTCAATTTTTGCAGTGCTTCACATAGACAGTTGCAGTTAGATTATATTAGATTATATTAGATTCAACTTTATTGTCATTACACATGTACAAGTACAAAGCAACAGAGCAACAAGTGCAATAATGCAGAGTATAAATTGCAGATATATCTATTTTTTTTAAAACAAAAACAATATACTGTATATATATATGTGTGTGTGTATATATATATATATATGTGTGTGTGTGTGTATATATATATGTATAGCATTTTATTTTTTTAAATTTTTTTTATGTATGAAGAAAAAACAGCCTGACACTAGCCTTTTAATCACAACATCACAGACACACTGAACCTAATAGCAGGATTGACATTCAATTTATTAACATCAAGGCAAAAAAGAGTCTAAGTTGTTTGTTCTCATGGATAACCACTCACCCAGAATGTGATCAGCTAATACATTTGCGACTTTTCTATTTCCTTCGTTTATCAGTCAGACAATATAAGACAAGACAGGGGGACAAACATAGAGTTAAATGCTGAACTTGACATTTCTCAAGCTAAGAGAGGGATTTTGTCTAGTTTCTTGACAGGAGAAACTATAGCTGTTAGCACTTCCACATGAAGTCAGCTACAGTGCCCTTTTTCTTCCTTTAATACTGTAATTTTTCCACATTTTGAAATCTACTATTTATTGTCACCATCTGTAGGGCATTTTGATTCCTGCAGCAAGCCATGGTACCATTCCTGTTGTCCTTGAGAACGCCTAGTTTGTTGCATCAGATCTGGCTCCTTTTCATTCTCAGCTTCTCGTTGTCTTTGGCCTTCATATAACCTTTTGCAAAAATAAGTGTTCTTAGACAATTCAAATGTTTGGCCGCTATAAATTGTGAAATCATTTCCTTTAGTTTGCCCTTCTTCCTTTCTTTTCCTGTTTGTATTCCTTTACAATCACCCTACTGATATTAATCATTTGAGGGTGAAACTGAACTATTCTGATTTGCTATTTAATTGCATGATAAGGTGGTCATTGCCTTTGTCAAGAGGTGCAAGTTCAGCACTATGGCTGTATTTTCTTAAACTCCAGATGGTACAAAGTAGCAGGACGAGTCAGTGGCTGCCAGCTTGACCTCAAGTATTCATTCTGGGCTATATACTTGCAGCTTTTCTCCCCCCATTTTGTTCTCATTTATGCATATCCTACATTAGTAGTGTGTTTTACCATCTGATTGATGTGTATCATTGTGTTTATCATTTACAGGCCAGAGCCAGTGCTAAGAAGTTTCGGAAAGTAACACTGACTGTCTCACCAAAAGGCATCATCATCACAGACACAGAGACTGCAGACCTCATAGAGAATGTCTCCATATATAGGTACATTTTTAGCCACACCAGTGGTATACGTCATGGCATGGCAATTCTTTTGAAATTTCTCTATTTTGAGTCTTCTTGTCTCCTCTGTCCTCCAGCCTGTGACCCAGAGATCAAACTCTGTGTGCCATCTTTAAAGGTGTATCAATTCTTAAAATGCATCTTGAGGAGAGAGGAACGAGGAAGTTTGTCAGAGCAGCTATTAATGTGGATGTACAGATTTATCCTTGCTATCCCCTTGGCGGATGCTTTTTCATATGCCTGACGCATAAAAGGGGTGTGACACACAGCTGTCACAAAAGTGAGTTCATCCTTTACATTTCTGAAAATATTTCATTATATTTTTTCATGGGGCAACACTGAAGAAATGACACTTTGCTACAATGTAAAGCAGCAGTGTACAGTTTGTATAGCTGTGTAAATTTACTGTCCCCTCAAAATAACTCATTACACAAACATTAATGTCTAAACCAGTGGCAACAAAAGTGAATACACTCCTAAGTGAAAATGTCCAAATTGGGCCCAATTAGCCATTCCCCTCCCTGGTGTCATATGACTCGTTAGAGTTAAAAGGTCTCAGGTGTGAATGGGGAACAGGTGTTTTACATTTGGCGTTATCGCTCTCACACTCTGATAGCGGTCACTGGAAGTTTAACATGGCGCCTCATGGCAAAGAACTCTCTGAGGACCCGAAAAAAAAAGAATCGTTGCTCTACATATAGATGGCCTCGGCTATAAGAAGATTGCAAACACCCTGAAACTGAGCAGCGGCACGGTGGCCAAGACTATACAGTGGTTTAACAGGACAGGTTCCACTCAGAACAGGCCTCGCCATGGTCAACTAAAGGAGTTTAGTGCCCGTGCTCAGCATCGTATCCAGAGGTTGTCGTTGGAAAATAGACGTATGAGTGCTGCCAGCATTGCTGCAGAGGTTGAAGGGATGGGAGGTCAGCCTGTCAGTGCTCAGACCATAGGCCGCACACTGCATCAAATTGGTCTGCATGGCTGTCACCTAAGAAGGAAGCCTCTTTTTGTTATGGATCAGGTTCAGAGGGTCTCGTGCGGACAAAAGACACGGCAAACGGAACGTAAAGCACAAAAACAGTTTTATTTTACAATACAAGATCTTATTCATAAGATACTGAAAATGCAGCACAGAACAAGAACTAGCTCAAGACAGTCCTCTAGCAGACCGGTGGAATACTTACACTACTCAAAAAATATAAACAGAAACTAAGCCGAACTAATGGCATTGTTACTCCTGTCTGAACAATGAACGGGTTGGTTGCCTGTGAACTTTATCTCGTTAAATATAAATCTCTCTGGGCAGGTCTTTGTACTTGATGAGGTAGTATGGGTAGCACTGGCAGCTGTCAAAAACTACAAACATGGTGGGATCGTGCCATTTGTCAACACAGGCGTCATAAAAGACATATTTCAAACTACAATCTACAAGTTTTCTCCTTCAGACGATCAACCAGCTCGTCTACCAAGAGATCCATTTGCCTGGTTCGAGTTGTGGATGCTTAACCATGACAACGCTCACAACGCCCTGAGCATCCCACAGTTCCTGGCTGAGAAGAACCTCCCTCCTCACCCCACCTGGCTCCGTGGGGTTGTTTCCTCTTCCCCAAGCTCAAGGGGCTCATCAAGGGGACCCGTTTTGGAGACAACATCAAGATGGCTGTGACGACGGAGCGGCACAGAATCCTTCCAGGAGAGCATGGCGGCGTGGCAGAGAAGGCCGGAAGAGTGTGTTAGACTCGTAGTTTGGATTTGAAACGTATCTTTCGTGACACCAGTCCTGAAACTCTTCTGACCCACCTCGTACAAACTCCTGTGTGACTCTCATGCTCTCTCATATTCCTCTTCTTCCAGCTCCTGCAGCCTGAGAGTCTTCTAGTCAGACGGTGTTTGGTTCATCCACAGACATTCATCTATAAATATCATCTCCACAACATCTTTTACACTCATGCAGCCTCATATCATCCTCCATGCTTCACTGTCAGGATGGTTCGCTTCAGACTCACCCTAAACACGCTGGACTCCATCTGAGCCCAACAAGTTTAATCCTTGTCTGATCTAAGAATGTTCTCTAAGTGTTAACTAAGCGTTATCAAAAATTACTCAAGGTTTTAACTAAGGTTTAGCAAGAGATCAGCTTATGAACAGAATGACTGGGGAATGGGGAGGCAGGTGGAGGATGGTGAGGCACATGAGTCTTCTGGAAGAATGGTGGATTTTCCAGGCAGGTGAAACTGAGTCGGGGTCTTGCTGATGGAAGGAGCCAATGATGACAGCAGGAGAGTCGAAGTGTGATGGATTCTTCGGATAGCAGGGAGCGTCAGAACTGAGATGGATAACGTTGCTTGGTAATGGGCCTGACACTTCTAAAGATGATGTACAAGAAAACCCACAAACAGTTTGCTGAAGACAAGCAGATTGAGGACATGGATTACTGGAACCATGTCTTGTGGTCTGATGGGACCAAGATAAACTTATTTGGTCAGATTGTGTCAAGCTTATATGGCGGAAACCAGGTGAGGAGTATAAAGACAAGTGTATCTTGTGGTGGGAGTGTCATGGTCTGGGGCTGCATGAGTGCTGCCGGCACTGGGAGCTACAGTTTATTGAGGGAACCATGAATGCCAACATGTACTGTGACATCCTGAAGCAGAGCATGATCCTTCGGAAACTGGGCCGCAGGGCAGTATTCCAACATGATAACGACCCCAAACACACCTCCAAGACAACCACTGCCTTGCTAAAGAAGTTGAGGGTGAACATGATGTACTGGCGAAGCATGTCTCCAGACCTAAACCCTATTGAGCATCTGTGGGGCATCCTCAAATGGAAAGTGGAGGAGTACTAACATCCACCAGCTCCGTGATGTCGTCATGGAGCAGTGGAGGAGGATTCCGGTAGCAACCTGTGAAACTGTGGTGAACTCCATGCCCAAGTGGGTTAAGGTAGTGCTGGAAAATAATGGCCGTTACACAATATATTGACACTTTGGGCCCAGTTTGGACATTTTCACTTAGGGGTGTATTCACTTTTGTTGCCAGCGGTTTAGACATTAATAGCTGTGCATTGAGTTATTTTGAGGGTACAGTAAATTTACACTGTTATACAAGCTGTGCACTCACTATACAAACACTTTCTATTTGTATAGTACTTTTTTTCTGTGTAATGACTTTTATATACTTCACAGCACACGTGTGTGTTGAATAAAAACTAAAAATCTATGACATCTATACATTCTCATCATATTATGTCATGTTAATATCGATTGATCAATATCCTTTATTTAACCAGGTAAAAAACTCATTGAGATTTAAAACCTCTTTTTCAAGAGTGACCTGGCCAAGAGGGCAGCACAAAACGGATTACAACAAACACACAAAAGACAAATAAAATACAGTGTACACACTACAGAAGAACAAGAGTGGGATTACATGATTACACAGTGCAGATCCAATTTTGCTGATTTCTCTGTTTTTTATAATCGTCTTGAATTTCCTCAGACATACAAGATGTGTCCATTTCAAATCCTTCTGCACATCATTCCAGGAAGATAAGGCACAAAATTTAAAATCCTTTTTGCCCAGTTTGGTTCTGACTCTCGGGACCTGCAACTGTATAATGCCCTGAGAGTGCAGGCCATGTCAGCTGAGGTTTCTACACGTGTGAACACAAATATGTAGGCAGAAGTCCAAGAATACATTTGTAAATAAAAGTCACATTTTGAATGGAATTATAGGTAAGTACATGCTGTAAGTTGTCATGAGCATTTTTCTCCTCATCTGACAGAGAAAAAAATACAGCGGTAGGATATAACAACACAATGAAGATATGATCCAGCTATGCCACATGCCATATTTAGCTGACACTGCTTGTGATGTCGAGTTGCAACATTTGAGTTTTATTCTATTGAGAACTGATTCTTTGTTCTTGCGATCAGATAAGAGATAATATAAGATAAAACTTTATTGATCCCTTTGGTAGGGTACCTCAGGGAAATTGTGTTTACAGTTACAGCCTGTCCAAGAAACATAAAAAGACAATGACCAATAACAGGGGGAGACAGGAGGGAGAACTGTTGGGTCAGCCAGCATGAGCAGCGCCCCTAATCATTGGATAAGAAAAGGAAAACAAGAGGAAAAACGAGGGGAAAAAAAGGCAATTCCCAAACTAGACTCCTCTAGGGGGGGCACAGTGGGATTAGGAAAAAAACACCTCAGCACATAAGCAGCATAATAAAACATCACAACAAAAAACTCAAGACTTGCACATATGGGAGGGGGGAGGGTGTTGGGGAGGGGAGGTGTCACAGCTCAGACACTGGGGGGAGCGCGCAGCCACGAGGCACGTCACATCAGCCCGCAGCATACTGGTCTGTGACGTGGGAGGGACAGGGTTTGGGAGTCAACCAGGCGTTGAGTCCAGGAGGTGTGTCTGTGTCATGTGTCTTTGTGTATGTGTATGTGTAAGCCCATGGACTTCATCGCCGCTCAGACTCAACATTGTCTCTGCCGTCTGATGCTGGTGATGAGACATGGCCGTTGCCATGGAGACAACCTCGAAGAATTCTGATCCAGAGACAAAGTTCACAGGAGAAGCAGGGGGGTGGGGAGGGGCCGAGCATCTGTCTGCATAACATCCAGGAGAAATGGAGAGATATCAGCCTTCCAAGGCCGAAGTAGGGGAGCAGAATGAAGATAAAGAAGATTGTTTGGGTCAGACCGACTCTGCAATTTACCGTCAGTCTTGAAGTCCCACTGGTTCTCTCTGTGATCCAAAAAGCCAAATTTGATGGCCCATTACATCCGGATCAGTCTGTCCAACTGCTCCAAGTTGGTACCCATCTTACGAATATTGCCTGAGTCTGTGTGTTGGCAGCCCAAACCATTCCCTCAATGACGGGCAGCTTCTCAATTGCCGAAAGTGTTTCCATCGTCTTCCGAACTTTGCGATAAAGCAGGAACCCACAAACTCCAAACAGC